AGGAGTACCGTCCCATATCTTTCGATGGAGTCTTCAGTCGGATTCCAGTCTCGACCCCTCCGCTGAGGTCCGCCTATGCACCTTGGCAGCTTGTCCTCTCGGCGCCCAAGTGGGTTCTCTCGATAGAGTTGCAACCTTTGGATACCTTAAGCTGCGCTGTATAGAGTACATACATGAACGACACCATCACGAGCCAATTACTCCAGACTTTGCAGACGTCGACATCTGTCACCCTGACTCTCATATCTACCCATCCTACGGTATTATCACTGCACCACCAGCAGACTGCGGAAACATTCCAATGTCAACGTTGGACCATCCTCGTCCGGGATTAGCTCCGCCAGCGGGTACCAAGCACGGAGGTTGGATACGTGGAAACCCCCGATGCCGGGCATGGCATTATCTTCTACTCCCGTCGGCCCCTTCCCCATGTTACGCCAATGCTCATCTCTGACATGGCGAGGTGCGAACGGATACATCATACACACAGCCTAGTGTAGCAGCGCAGCCAGCATCCGACATGTCACTGTCACTGTCCCTGACGGAGCCCTATTCGTTTCTTTTTTCAACTTCTGACACCGGCTTTCTGCAACCTCCAGAGACCCCCTACTTTCTATGTTCCTTCCAACAAGTTCTAAGCAGAACCCTGGGGCCCAGTTCCCTCCCACACCGCTGCAGTAGCCTTCACAACACCATGGCAGAATCCTACGAGACTTCATGTCTACGATGACTTTCCTTTGCATAACATGCGCGGCACAGGTACGCTCTCGTATGGCAATGGCATGGTATGGCGTGGCTCCGGCCTATACCATCTGCTCTATCAACTGCCGTATCCAACGTGCCTCATCCTCATAGCTTTTTCTCGCCCAACTATCGACCAACCCGGCCGGCCTTAACACAACACCACGCGGCTGCTCTCCAGATTTTCCGATCTGACCCCACTCGCCAATGCCATGAATAGCAGACCCCGAGGGTACCGCCAACGTGGTCGTCCCCAGGTTTCTTTCTGGAAAGTCTTAGTCACTAGCACCGTCTTTGGTTCCTCGGGACTAAGACGGCACGTTGAGGGCTTTTTGACTAGACTGGCTAGTTCCATTGCCTCTTTACCCTGCTTGACCTGGCTCTCCTCCTTCTGATCGGCGAGGCCCCGCGCAAAAGGCCTGCCTGCAGACCGGAGCCGACCGTCGATTGCTTGACCCCTAGTCACGGATTGAATGCGTCTGCTTCCAAAATATCCGGATCAAACATGAGAGACAGCTCGCCTATCGGTGCAGCTATCCCAACGCTATGGCTCGATTGATAACAACGTCCCCTACGTCTCAGTGTGAACATTCTGGTTGGCTGTGAGAACGGCAAGTTTTGCCGTCTCATCATGCGGTTTGCGCGTGGACAATCGGCAAAAGGCACCAGGGAGTCTTCCCCTGCGTCACAGCTCCCACTCTCCCCGCGGCAAGTGACTTCTGGGGAATGCGAGTATCAAACACAAGCATATCGTGCGACTTGGCACATGTGTTCGAGCTAGACAAGTGCTCTTCGCTCGAGCTACGGCAAATGAAGAAGCCTTCGTTCTACTCTTGAGATGCGTAGTAGAAAGGTGCCCCTAAATGATCATACCATATGATGATGCTGGTCATACGGTATTGCTTCGGAGTGATAGTATCTTTCTTCACAGTGCTTGGACATCACCTAACCTCTTCCCTGTTTGTGATAACTTTCACATGGTATTCTCTCTGATACTGCTGAGGAATGCCGTCGCACGCATTCTTGCAATATCCTGGCAACATATGCTCAGTAGCCTCAGTCTCGCGTTCGCTTGGTATATTGTTCTTCTTCCTTCCATATGACTTCCTTGAGGACGATATACGTCCTTAAAGGCAGAAGTTGGTGATATGGAATGACCCAGTTTGAGCAGAAGCCTTGGGACAAGATCCTGGATAGTTTCAGAGTTCAAAACTGCCGCGACGGGCGCAATGATGCCAAATAGTGTTGATCTTGGTACACTCTAACATCACCCAGCACTTGTTCATCCATCGCTTTGAGCTGCGGTGCGGTATCTCCTCAATGAATTATAATTATAGAATTACAGACGCGGTGATCAGAGTCACCTAAACCTATACACGCGGACAAGCTTGCGTCTTCAAAAAGTCGACCCGAACCTCCTTCTCCCCTCCCAAAACAAGATCGAAGCTGGTGCTCCAGCCGCTCGTCGCAAGCTGCACATGGGCTTGGAAGAGCGCATACCCGCTATCCTCCTCGCCCGTCGCCGCGAGCTCGACGCTCTCGACGTCGAGCCTCCTGTGGATTGCCTCAGAACGCCGCACGAGACGCACAATGTCCATCGTCACGGCATCTCCCGCGCGCTCCTTCAACACCGCGGCCGTGACGGTGAATGTGCGCTCGTTGTTCACGCTCGTCCGGTTGACGCAAGAGGAGGCTGCTTGGTAGAGCAGCGCGTCGTCTAGCGGGAACCCGCTGCCGTCGTTCTTGTACACGAATGTAGCGTTGCTCGAGGGCGTCGTCAGGTGGACAAGGAAGCTGCTTATACCGCTCGCTGCGCTGATGGCCGTCTCAAACTGGTACCAGGCGAACGTCTCGCCCCAGAGCCCATGCGTGACGCCGCCTTCGTCGAGCGTCGCGGGGACAACAACGGAACCCTCGCCCCCTCGATCTGCGAAGCTCAGATGGACGGCCAAATCGCCAGTGTCCCGCCCCGTCCCTTCCGTCGTCCTCACGCGCACCCAGCCGCTGAACGCGAGGCTCCCGTTGCCGCTCAGCGCCAGCGTGACGTAGGGCTTGATATCGACGGGCTCCACGGGCTCCGTCAACTGCACCGTCGCGGGCACGGTATCAATCATGCGCGTAAAGACGTCGGCGCACGCCGTCCTGAACCCGTTCTTGGTACAACCCAGGTCCCTGATCGTCTTGTTCCCGTCCGACGAGAAGATGTGCTTGTCCGAGTTGAGCGTCTCGTTGTGCCCGACGACCAACGGGTTCGACGTGTTGCCTCGCACGTACTCGGTCGCGATCCGGTTATCAAAGTCGTCAAATGTGCTATCAAACTTGGTCACCGTGTCCGGGCTCGGGTCGAGGCCCGTGATGTGCGGGTTATTCCGGCTGTGCACGCCGCCGAGGGTATGCCCGCACGCCACGAGCGAAATCATCTCGCTCTGGCTGAAGCCGGCTTTCGCAAACGTCGCCAGCGTCGTGTTGAGCGGCGTCTGCGGCTCCGGTACGCCCGCTGGCCCGGCGGTGCTGGCGTCGACACGCCCCGCGCGGAAGGGCATCTTTGCGCCACCGCAGCCCGCGTTGGCGACGACGACGCTCATGGCGAGCAGGTCGGCGGCGGAGGCGCGGATCGAGTAGAGGTTGCTGAAGAAGTTGAAGGTGTTGTTGAAGGCCGCGCCGCCGTTCTCGGCGCGGCCGACCTCGAACCAGATGGAGCCGTCTAGGCCGCCTGTCCCCGCGGCGGCGTCGGTGGTGGCTACGTCGTGGAAGGCGGTGCGGATCCACTCGGCGGCGAACTGGCGGCCGGCGATGTTGCCGCCAAAGGCGCAAGGGGTCACGCCTGGAAGTCATCCGTGTGTGTTAACTAGATGGAACGCTGAGGGAAGGGGAGCGAAGGAGGGGGCGGACGAGAGATGCGGGACTGGGGGCGTAGATCACGAACCTTCGACGAAACCCCTGCTGCGGTATCCCGTCTGTAATGAGAGGATATCCTCAATCTCGTCGTACTTGGAAGGCCAGACATATGCGGCTCCCACGCTGTGCGACAACGCGGCGATGCCGCTGATGACGGCGACGACAAGTCCGTCCCTTCTCATTGTCAGAGCTAGTCTCAAATTACACCTCCAACGAGCGTCTGACCAGAAGAAGAGGAAAATTAATCAAAACGAGAGAGAACGCTGGCAGACATCCCAGGAAATAAACCCACGTCGCACGCGCGAAGATTTGGTGCTGGGTATTCCTTTATAAATCCCCATCATCGCATTGGACCCGACCCTTTTTGGCACTTCATTTTGCCCCAGGGGGTTTTTATTGACTCCATTACGTGGAAGAGGGTCAATTGGTCTTTTTGTTTTTTTCCCACTCGAGTAACTTTTTTCTAAAGAGAGCGAGAGCTCCAGTATCGCCAAGACGTCAAAGGAAAACGGATCTGGCTTGCATCGGGTCCCTGGCCCGATGGAGCATCTGTGCCCGAAACTCGTGGGTTCTTGTTGGCGGCAACAAAACCTCTGCAGTATGAAGATGCTGCTGCTTCATAGCCGCAGGTTCGAGAAAAAAACCCTCGCAGCTGAAAAGGTGTGGATAAAACGTCAAATAACTCTAAACTAGTTCTTTAGACTCGGCCGAGTTAGTCCTAGTTCCCATCGTTCATGGGATTAGAGAGCACCGATTGCCCCGGCCTCAAGAGGATAAGGTACAAGAAGAAGGGAATTCCCTTGGAAAGTCAGGAAACCCGGGCGGGATGCGAGCGTGGGAGGCTAACGTACTCCGTAGACCCGCGCGGAATGGCCGACAAAGCTGGACTATCAGATGTAAAAAAAAAAAGTTATCTGATCGACCAGGGGGGCGGTCTGTAATATTAAAGTCCCCGCTGCCGTTGTGGGGGGAGAAGGGGACTCGGCGGCGACTCGAGGGATTTGAGGAACCAACCTAAACAGGTGATCCGGCTTAGCTCTATGGTTTAAAATCTGTTCGGACAATATTCATCTCTCCTTCTTCCTTCGTTGACGGGAAAGTGGTTGATGTTAAAGGTAGGTGTTCATTTCTCCTCAATGGCATGATGATGTCAATCTTGCGTTCGAGGAAGAATGGTTCCCGTCTCAAGTCAGATGTCTTATACCGGATTATCTGTTGTCATTATGATACGGCGCAACTTTGCCATATCACCCACGCAAGACTACAACAACTCTCATCATTATATCCCGCTCGTCACAGGCCCCCTGGTCCAGAGAAGGTAGTGTAACAGCATCTCAATACAAGTACTAAAGCACCCATCTCTACCTCCTCTTGTCAATCAGCTTCCCCTCAAACCAAGCCGCAAACTTGACAGCATTGGCATCCAAATACCTCTGCGCAAAGTCAGCCACGCACACCACGCCAGGCATAAAGAAACACGTCGCCAAAAGCACCCCAAACGTAAACTGCCCGCTCGTCTCCGCCCCCGTCAGCCCCGTGAAGAAGCGCACGAGGTGCCACCCGTACAGCCACAGCAGCGACCCGTGGACGAGGTACAGCGCGTACGAGATGCGGCCAAAGTACTGAATCACCCGGTTCGTGAAGAGCGGCTGCAGGAACGGGGACCGGTCAACCGACAAGACGAGCCAGGCGGACGCGAGCGGGATCCAGAGGTACTCGCCCTCGCCGTAGCGCTCTGGCGTGATGGCGACGAGCGTCTTATAGCCCGGCGAGAGGCCCGCCGTGCCGGTGCCCTTTGGGTACGAGAGGAGCCAGAGCGCGCCGAGGAAAGAGAGGGTGCCGAGCATCTTTTTGGTTACGCTGTAGGTTGGTGACGATGTGAGGGAGAAGCTCAGCCGGGCGAAGCGGCCGTGTGGTCCCGGGGTTGCTGCTGCTGCCACGTATGGCAGGGTGTTATTGGCTATGGCAGGCTGCCAGTAGAAGTGCAGGTTGGCGCAGAGGAGCCCTGCGAGGAAGAGGAAGTACTGCCAGTAGTTGAAGTAGAGGGTGTACGCCACGAGGAAGAGGTTCATGCTGAGCCTAACCCGGGTGCGTAACCTCGAAAAGGCGACGTGAGCGAGGAAGATGACCAGAGAACAGTCAAATTCGATCGGAATCGTCCAGAGCGTAGGCTCGTACGGGTACCCCTCGCCCCTCCGCAAGTTCCTCCCAAACGGGTCCGACAGCCCGATGAGATTCATCGCCCAGTCCCAAAGCTGGTCGTAAGCACGATCGAACCGCGGCGGCCGCAGCGCCGGCACGGCCACGCCCGACGTGGGGATCTCGAACCATCCGAAATACGAAATCCACGCAATCACAAACGTCGTCATCGCGGGCGGCAGAAACAGGCGAATGTGCCGCCGAAAGGCCGACGAGGCGGCCGCGGTCGCGAACTCGGCCGTCTTGTGCTGGCCGAGGAGCTTCAGGGGCTTGTAGCTCAGCGCGAACCCGGAGATGACGAAGAAGACGCAGACGGACCAGAAGCCGGAGATGACGAGGCGTATGATGGGCAGCTGGATGAACATGGGGTCGTCGTCGCTCATGAAGCCGCGATGGATGTTCATGTTGGCTGTGACGAGGGACCAGTGGTGGCAGACGACGAAGAAGGCGGCTACACCACGGAGACCATCTGCGGTTGGGGCGGGTTTCTTGTTAGCTTTTGTCCTTTGAGACTGGAAGGCGAATTGAAGCAGAACTTACCGAGCCATGCTGTAGGATGAAGCGGCTTCTGGACGGCATTCGGATCTGAGGCCTTGAGGAAGCTTGGAATCAAGGCACGGAAGATGTTTCTGGGGTATCGGAGCCACACAGGCAGCTGCCGTGCTCGAGGATGTGTCCGAGGAACAACGACACCAAAGTCGTCGTCGTGATCCACCAGCGGGATCTCCTCCTCTGCTTCATATGCTTCTTTGCTCGGGGTGTCGAGGTCCAATGGGCCGATCCCCTCGCCGTCGTATGAGTTTGGCAAGTGCCTCAAGTGACACTCAGCCTGCGATGCCATGGCGTCAGTCCCAATATTTCCAGGCATGGCTTGTGTCGTCCTCAGTCCTGCCAAGAATGTGAAGCCTCCGCGGGATTGTTCTCCTCGTGGATCGACAGGAGAAGAGAGAGAGAAAGGGGAGCGGAAAACCGATACCAGCATGCCGCACAAGCATGAGCGGACCGGCACCACGTATTAAACCATACCGAAAGGCCGGTGATTCATCGTGCCGCCATCTCTTCCCCGTTCCCAAGCCCTCAACGTTGTTTTCTGAATATCGATCTGAAAACGATCAGCCGGGCAAGGCTAGCGGGTTCCGCCAAGATCGTCGCCGTCTAGGGCGAATCCGACGTCAATGAGGTCGTTCGTGAGGACGCATTGCGGATAGGATCGAAAGCCACGGCGTGGAAAGTGAGACAATTCGGCCAAGAAACTCGCTCCCCGTGCCGGGAATTATGTGCAGACGTCTCGGATATTGGCTTGGCTTTGGTGTCACCCGAGAGGCGGCGTAAGCTCCGTTTGCATCTGTTCCGATGTATGTTGTCAACATAGAATGGCGCGGCTGACGACTACTTACTTGTGCATGAGAAGAAGACATACATCAGCGTATCTCCTTCGTGCAAGATTGACTTATTCCATCGTGCGCGGCTTGGACCTCGACGAACACAAGCATTCCACGTCCACTTGCTCCCCGTCGCATTCATTGCCTCATGTTACACAAAACCAACTCTTTGTGATGGTAATTGGTAAAAGGCATTCATGTCAATGGTCTAGAAATGCAAAAATGATAACTGTGAGATTCGAACTCACGCCTCTTGCGAGACCAGAATACTCATCCGTTGAACGAATGAAGCTTAGTAAGCTTGAGTCTGGCGCCTTAGACCGCTCGGCCAAGTTACCTTGTTGAATTTGGAGAACAGTTAGCGCTTAATAAAGGGCGCGCAGTATTCCACCCCGCTTTCGCCAATGCTGCCCGCCTCGATGTCAACTTCAAACACACCAGACTTACAAACATAACACATAATCAGCGTGGATTTTACCAACATATCACGATGCTATTTTGTTTGTCAGTTCGCCCCGAGTCGCACGCTAGAAGCCGGTGGACCAATGACGCATTCGAATTGATGATTTATGAAAAGGGTGTTTGCGATTCATTCTGACCGTCCGTCTGGTCCTCATATCACGTCTGCTTCTTCCATGTCAGGAGATGCCACCGCGGCGAACTGTCTCTCCACTCGGTTGTACTTACGACATTTTCTGAACTTGACGCGCGCTCTGGGGAGGAGATTGCGCCTGTGCGTAATTGCTCTTTGGTAGTGTATTCCATATGAGCGAACCAAGAGACCGATTAAGTAGACTGCCATCCAATCGTATATCTCATCCTTGCGCAACGTCTCCGATGGCCCATTCCTTCCATAAGCTCGATCTCAATCCTGAGACTTCATTAATCATGTCCCCGGCTATAGAGTGAATAGCCAACTCATTGAGAAATGGAGATAGGGGCCTCGCTACTTCAAAGGCCAACCCCCCGGAAGAGCGCCGAATGGAATGTCATGAAGAGATAGTCACAGAAGCAGTAATATACTCCAATTTCCTTGCCAATTGAACCTTTTGTCTATTTTCTTCATAGAAAGCCACCCATTGTTTTTACTTCCAAAGCCCAAGAGCGAGGACTTTCTCTCCATCAACTCCCCAAATCGACCTGGCTTTAACGTACGCCGTTGCCTGCCCCTTCTCTCCTCCAGAAGATCCGGCCGGAGCCGCAGCAGAAACCGCACACTTTGGCACATTGAGATACACCAAATACGGTTGATCTCCTCCTTCACCAGCATCTCCAATAGACTCCCGATACGCCCTCCTCATCCACTCTTCCACCTCATCAAAGGACTTCGGCGCACGTGTAGCAGGGCCATTGACAGCAAGCCACGCGATTGTAGAATGCACCAACGTCCCCGACACGATAACGTGGCAAACACGTCTGTAGAAAGGAACATCAGCCGAAGGCACCTGGTCCGCTGACCGGTACTCGACAGACGACGAGGGCACCTTTGCAAGGCCGAGGTGGGCGTGCCACTCGACGCCGGCCTGGCGAGGCAGCTCCTCGACCTCGACGGAGAAAAAAGGCGGAACGGAACCCTCGGCCTCTCCGTCGTCTCCGCCGGTCGTCACAACGGCTGACCAATCCGGTAGCTTCTGCGCCGCCGCGGCGTCCTCGCCGAGAGACATGTACGCCGGGTTAAACTTGCGATCCCACAGATCGGGTCCGCCACTTCCATCGCCGTCTCCGTCCTCGTCCTCGTCGCGCTTGTGAACGGCCCTCCACGCGGCCGCGGCAAGTTGGCCTTGCCGTCTCATGTCTGCCTCCTCTGGTGTGCGCGGGAAATATGCTACCGCGCTGGTCCAGAGCTGCACTTTCATCTCGGTGGCGATGCGCCAGAGGTGCTGCAGAGATAGAGTGATTTGCATCTCCAGGTTGCCCTCCTTTTCCGTGGGCAAGATCATGCTGGCCGGGACGAGCGGAATTTGGCCCGCAATCGTTACTGCTCTGATACCGTCGTGTGCCGTATCTTGACCGCCGCTCCTCAGGGGTACATCGATAGCCTGGCTATAGGGGCCGATGTTGGCTGGCGCCCAGTACGATCTCGACTGCACATGAAGTCCATTCCGTTCACGAGGCTCCAGCGCAGGCTTTATTGTCAGATGAACGTTGATGGCACTTCCGGCCTGTAGTTCGCCACAAGAAATCGTTACTCTGGACGGAGGATTAGGGTGCTGGAAGAGTTTACTGTAGATCTTGTTGATGGCTGGAAAATCCGACATGGACTGCAAGACGATGATGGTATTGGTGATGGCCGTAGTCGGCAGCGGCGGAGTGTGGCCAGCAAGAAGCTTCTGAATCTGCTGTACTATCTCCTCAGTCTGCTGCTCGACAGAGGAGCCCTGGCCCGATACCGCTTGAGCACCAAAGGACCAGTGGATATCGTCCGAAGGAGTTCTCGGCAGAACCGGTGTTTTGCCGTTACTTTGCGTGAAGCCATCAACGGATGATGATGAGTCCGTTATTGACACCTGGCTATCCCGAGCCGCGGGCAATGACTCTAGGATAGACTGAAACCGGGGATCCAAGGCATTGGGAACCCGGGGCGGAGAGCAGCTTTCTCCCGTGCCCGCGTCAAGGGTTTGCTTTTCTCGGACACTCGCCCCTTGAAAGCTCAACCACGACGTCCCGCCGCCCTCCCTCACGGTCCGCCTGCCGGACTCCGGCACCTCGATGGCCTTTTTGAACAGCCCGGGCGGGCCGTCCAACACGAGCGTCTCGAACTCGCCCCCCTCGCCAATGACGGCGCCCTCGGCGGCGCCAAAGCGTCTGAGAGCACGCTTCACGCGCGACGCGCCCGCGATGCTGCTCACCTTCTCCCACAAGAAATCGTCATCAAGCCCCGCGCTCGCGACCTTGATGATCCTCGCGTCGAGACCGGCGGCCGCCATGTCGTGGAGCAGCTGGGCGTCCTCGACGGCGCCCGGAACCACCGGGGGCAGCACGGGATACTTCCACAGGTACGCCAGCGGCGTGAGGCCCAGGCGTAGCGCGACGGATTCCACGCGCGTCCGCTGGTACGTTGAGAGGATGGCTCCCGCACAGATAGCGTTGGCCTCTGGGTGGTTCGCCATGACGGTACGGAGGAGGGGCACCATGCTTTCCGTCTCATCCGCGTCGACTTCTGGGCCCGCGTCGCCGTCGCCATCACCGCCAGCACCACCCGACGGCACAGCATGGGAGTCGTAGTCTCTGCCCTCATACTTGGCACCGCCGTAGATGGGCTGGCGATAGAGCGGCAAGCCGGTGGCGTCTGCGTATAGGGGTATGACCTGGTGGCCGACGGTCTGGTACATGAAACTATTCAGGTCGGCTTCATCGTCGGCCCCTTTACCAGCCTCCTCCTCCACGACCTTCTCTTCCTTTCCCGTAGACTGATCTGACAGCTGAACATCCTTTACGTGATCCCTCGTGGGCTTGTAAATGATGGTTGCTGGGGCCGAGCGCGTGGCGTCGGAGCCGGCGCTGACGGAGGCGGAGGGGAAGAGATTAGCGAGTGCCACGAGTCGGTGCCCGTTCCTCTGGCAGTGCAAGGCGGAGAAGAAACTGTCCTTGCCGCCCGAGACCAGGGCGATGACATTGAGCTGTTCGGATGACATGACAGGCAGGCAGACTTCAGCCTGGCGTCCGACGTTATGCAGGCGGACGGTAGGACTGGGGGGACTCGGGTGAGTACGTCTGTCCGTGTGTCTTTACGGATATGTGTGTGCCTTGTGCCCGTGATCCGTGCTGTGCAGCGTGTAATTTCTGTGCAGGCCCTCGCGTTGGCGTATGCGTCCGGGCGTAAGGTGTGGAAAGCCTTTGTGCACAGAGTCAATGGTCCGAGATTGATGGGCTTGTCTGGGTCTCCGCGCACCACGGAGGTATGGCGGGATGGGGACTGACAGATTCGTCTAGACCTCAAGGGGACCCTTGAACGACTAGGAGCTCCGTCTTCGGGACGTCGCGGCGTCGCGAGGCCGGGACTGCGGATGGAGGTTGATGAGTGTCGAAGTGGTTTGAGCCTTTGACGTGGTACAAGACGGAGTCAGTGAGGAACCCGGTACGACGTTTGGATTTCTGACCATGGAGGGGAAGGAGGGGAACGTTCACAGAAAAGAAAAAAAAAAGACGGGCCCACTGACCGTAAGTTCGAAATGGAGCCCAATACGGAAAGCAGGAGGAAACGGTTCAACTTACAACGAAAAGGTCAAGAATAATCTATTGTACCTGCATTATTCACAACTTCACAGCAATTGCAGCTTCTCCGCTAGTACAATGCCCCCATCCTACGTGAGGAATGGAAGTCGCAATTCCTTCTGTTGCATGGATTGATGATGTGGGTAGTGGTCAGCCGTCAAGATGCTCCCCGGCTCTTATCGAATCATTCCCTGGTGACGGTATCCGTACGCATAAGATACCTTACAGAAGGCAAGACAAGCTTGACAAGGTGAAGTGAGGTGAGGCACTC